ACGCACTCACAGTGGGGGTGGGGGAAAGAAATAGTGAGATTTCCCTTCCTTGCTAATTCAGATCTTTGTCAAAATCTGAGAAATTAATTATCAGGCACAATGGTGAATGCCTGAAAGCCCAATAACACAAGAGGCAGGAAAATGGCAAGTTTGAGACTCGGTAACTTAGAAAGACCCTGTCTCAAAATAAAAAATAAAAAAGGTCTGGAAATATAGTTCAGTGATAGAATGCCCTTGGATTCAATTACCAGTAACTGTCTCCCGCCCCAAAACAGAGAAATTTCTTTTCTTTTCTTTTTTTTTTTTTTTAAGTAGAGAAGAGAGAAAGGAAGGAACACATTTTTTTTTTTTTTTTTTTTTTTAGAAAGAGAGAGGAGAGGGAGACAGAGAGAGAGGAGAGAGAGAATTTTAATACTTATTTTTCATTTTTTGGCAGACACAACATCATTGTTTGTATGTGGTGCTGAGGATCGAACCCCGGGCCGCACGCATGCCAGGCGAGCACGCTACCGCTTGAGCCACATCCCCAGCCCATTTATTTTATTTTCAATCTACARTGTTTGGAATACTTACAGGGCAGATTTTCCTGTGCGTGGATCTATATAGGTAGTTGTTCTTTTATTGTGGTCTACAAAATATGGAATTCCATCCACTGTGAATCTCATTTCCCAGCCTTCAGGTAACGGCTTTTCATTTAACTGACTACAAAACATAGGGAAAAAATATAAACAAGATTTTAAAGAGTTGTTGATTTGTCAAGTACAGAAAATAAAAATATCCATAAACATATATTAATGTAGTATAAAATCTTTTAGAAAACAATTTGGTCTAAGATTTTCAGTTGTGCATTAGATACTCTATTTGGACATCCTATGTATACGTTAAACACATCATTAGAACTTAACATTAAAAACCACTCAATCACCACTCAATTTTCCACTATATTCTTGGCCTATGCTCTTCTATCTACTTTATAACCCACCTTAAACATCTCATGATTAAATAAGTTCTGCCCATTTGTCTTAAAAGTCTTTATCTTCATCCCTATTTTCTACCTCCACAACCATCCTTACTCTGGGCATTAACTGTCTTTTGTTTAAACATCCTCAACAGTCACCTAAATGGGTTTTCCTCCCTCTAGTCTCATTCTGCTCTGGCTCTTATATTGATATGGCTGACAAGAGTATCTTTCTCAAATAAGAGATTGCATCAAATTAGTTCTTCCTTTAAAGTGCTAGCACTRTTATACCACTTCCAATGTTAAGTTCTATATTCTTCCACCTGGCATTTACTCAAGTTTCTATACCTTGGCCTTGAATGTTCCCTTTTACATTTTCTYTGCACCCAAACTTCTAACTTCTTTACATAAATCCTGTGATTTCATGGAATATGGCTAGTCATCATTTTCCCAATCAAGACATGATCTCTCTCATCTCCAAGTGAAGCCTTTGACCCAAATCTCTATTATTCTTTTGTTAAGGCAACTCAAAAAAATTTTTAATTAAGTACTTCTATTTCTTTAACACCTATCTTTATATCTTGAAAATTTGTGATACTAGGAAAACAACTAAATCTCTCTAAACTCCATCTTCTTTTGCTGGGTGCAGTGAAACATCTGTAATACCAGGGACTTAAGAGGCTGAGGCAGGACTACGGCAAATTCAAGACCAGTCTCAGCAATTTAGCAAGACCCAAAGCAACTTAGCAAGACCCTGTCTCAAAATAGAAATTTAAAAGGGCTGGGGATGAGGCTCAGTGGTAAAGTACCCCTAGGTTCAATCCCCAGTTCCAAAAATAAAATAAACTTAATTTTTCTTTATTCATAAAATGAAAATAACATTGTTTATGTAATAAGATTATACAAAGAATGAGGTAAGTAAGACGTTTAGCACAGAGTAATGCTTCATATTGTAATTATTATTATTCCTCCTACTACAAGAGATTGATGACTCTTTCCTGGGCATCTCAAAGTACTTCCTATTTATACAACTAGCAGAGCATCTAACACGTTGCAATATTTGTGTTTGACAACAACTCCTCCCCCTTGAAAATATTATATGAAATTTAGAATAGGAATTACATAATTGACTTAATTTTAATCGGTTATCACTTAAAATAAGTGAGGTATTAGAATAAATAAACCTAAAACTTTTATTTTTACATTTCAAAATATTATACTAGAATAAATTGGGAACTATGGAATACCTCTTTTGCTGTCTTTATTTGTGTATCTGACATAATGGTAACCAGTCTTTTTAGCTGGTTAGGTGTAATAAATGTTGCAATATTTATCCATATGTGCTCGTTCATTTTTTTCTATTTTACAGATTCAATTTTCTCATCTGGTGGGTTTGGTACAAAAAAGAACAATAGAAATGTTCAAGTTCACCTCAGAAAAGAACAACAGGAGGATCTGGAGTCATTTAGGCATTTAGCCACTATTGCTGTTAATAGTKTCACTTTCCTCAAGCGTACTTCTGCAAAATAAAGGGCTACACTTCAGAAAAACCACTGTTTCGAACCACATTTTGTAAACTACATCAAAAGATTAAGAATATCTAGCTGTATGCATATAATTGAATACAAATATCAAATAAAATAGATTATCAAAAATACAAAAAAGTTTTGTTGAAACTTTGGTTGAAGGATAGGCTCAGTAACAAGTTGTCTTGAAAACAAAATAAATTAGAACTAGGTCAGTTGTGCTACTTATTGAAATATTATTCTACTATTTAGCTCTAAAACTTTAAAAGCTCAAGGGTGAAAAAATTATAGAAAGATGACTTGCTCAATTCTCTCAGTCTGAATCAGAGTGTTCTATCGCTGAGCTGTATGTCCCTATCCCTTTTTATTTCTAATATTAAGATAGAATCTCACTTAGATGCTCAAGCTGGCCTTAAACCTGCCATCTTCTGCCTTAGTCTCTTGAGTAATAGGAATCACTACTGTGTCTGGCTTGATTTATTCAATTCTATCCTTAGATATATTTTTTTGGCGGGGGTGGGGGTGGGGGGGTAGTGCTGGGGATGAAACACAGGGCTTTGTGCATGCTAGGCAAGTACATAACAACCGAGCTACATCCCCAGACTCAAAGATAAAATTTTTGAGAGAAATTAAAATTAAAAACATCTCATCTTTGAAAATCTTAATTATTTTTTCATGTAATTGAATATATTCAAATTAAACATAATAATTCCATAAAAAAACACTGTCATTTGTTGGTACCCAAAATATATATTTTACATTTAAAGAATATCTTTTTTTTTTTTTAAAGAGAGAGTGAGAGAGGAGAGAGGAGAGAGGAGAGGGAGGGAGAGAGAGAGAGAGAGAGAGAGAGAGAGAGAGAGAGAGAGAAAAATTTTAATATTTATTTTCTAGTTCTTGGAGGACACAACATCTTTGTTGGTATGTGGCGCTGAGGATCGAACCCGGGCCGCACGCATGCCAGGCAATCGCGCTACCGCTTGAGTCACATCCCCAGCCCCTAAAGAATATCTTTAGAACAAAAATTATTGAAACACGTGTCATGAGGAATTAATCATTCCCAAGAAAAGTCTGGTCTTTGTCCTCAACCACTGGGAGGTATCTGATGATAGAGACCTGGGACATACTATATCAGTTTTGACTTCAGGAGGAACTTGAAAATAGGTCTTATCTCAAACCTCCAGGTAGGGATAAAGACAAAGATGTCAGCCAAGAGAGAAGAATATGATCAAACCCAAATAAAAATTCTAGATACCAGAGACATCCTGTTCAAAACTGAACATCAGGGCTAGGATTGTGGTTCAGTGGTAGCATGCTTGCCTTGCATGTGTGGGGCACTGGGTTCGATCCTCAGCACCATATAAATAAATAAAATAATAAAATAAAGGTATCGTGTCCATCTACAACTTAAAAAAAAAATACCAAACATCAATATATATTGTTCCACACTGTTGGATATCTAGAACCCTCCCAAACTCTGCTCTATAAATCTCTTCCTTCTGCTGGTTCTATTTTATATTCTTTCTTTATGATAAACATGGTTGTTGAGTATAAGGTTTAGTGTAGATATGAATGAATTCTGAGTATCTCTAGTGAGAATTTTTGGYAGCTGGTCTGAAGGGGGAATTGTCTTGGGGACCCGCAAACTTGTGGTTACTATCTAAACTGATTGTACAATTTGCCAAATTTCTTGCATAATGGAAACATTTGGCAATCTGATAAATGAATGGTTTTATAGACTGTTACAAGTTGAATGTGTCCTACCTCCAAACGCTTAAGTTATAGCTACCAGTCCCTGGAATATGACTTTATTTGGATAAAGGGTTATTGCAATGTTTCAGTTAAGATGATGTCATATTGGCATATGGTGGRGGGTGGTGGTCATTGGCTCTGAAGAACAAGTGTTCATATAAAAAGAGGAAATTTGTGTTCAGAAATGTATACACAGGAAGCTATGTGAACACTGAAATAATGCTGACAAGCCAAGAATTGTAAGAAACTAGAAGTAAGGTCTGAAATAGATCTTTCCCTAGTGACAGCAGAGGAAGCATGGTCTTGCTAACACCTTGATCTCTTGGGCTCTAGCCTCCAGAACTAAAAAACATTAATTTGTTGTTTAAGCTACTCCATTTGTGATAGAGTTTATCGCAATGGCCCTAGTAAACTAATACACAGACTATTATGTAATGTTACTAAGATAAGCAATGTACTCATAGGTGCCACTTTGGTGTAGTTATTAAAACTTTAAAGACAAATTTGTGAGAGTGTATTGCTTTATTAATACATTAACTAGCAAGTTCTTTTTCTTTCTTTTTTCTTTTTTTTTTTTTTTGGTACTAGGGATTGAATGAAGGGCTTCACAAATACTAGGCAAGTGCTCTACAATTGAACTCTACCCCCAGCCTTAAGTTGGGTGGGGTTTTTTGTTGTTTTTT